AACTTATTTCAATTTCAATTTCAAAGAGACGGGTCGTATTCCAATGAAGCTAGTGAGTAAAGCTTACCATGAGCTCTGGGATGGGAAAGCTCTCAACCTGCTAACAGGAGTCAGCTATCGTCGGTCAGGGAGCCGGTCGGCCGAGCGGACAGCACGCTGGACTTGTGATCCTGTGGTCCTGGGTTCTATCCCAAGCGCCGGCGAGAAACAACGGGCAGAGTTTCCTTCACCCTATGCCTCTGTTACCTAGCAGTAAAATAGGTACCTGGGTGTTAGTCAGCTGTCACGGGCTGCTTCCTGGGGGTGGAGGCCTGGTCGAGGACCGGGCCGCGGGGACACTAAAAAGCCCCGAAATCATCTCAAGATAACCTCAAGATAACCGTCTGCCCCAGTACCCACAATATCACCAAAATGTCTAAGATAAGCAGGAGTAGGATGTTAAGCAGGAGTTAAGATAAGCAGGAGTAGGATGAGAGAGCATGGGTGACACTAGAGGCTGAGCTGAGCCATAGTAATGTAGTGAAGCATTTCTTCGGTGTAAGAGTAGTGTGGAGGTGGGGCGGGCAAGACGTGGACATGTTGAGGTTATCTTCTTGAGGTTATCTTGAGATGATTTCGGGGCTTTAGTGTCCCCGCGGCCCGGTCCTCGACCAGGCCTCCAACCCCCAGCCCGTGACAGCTGACTAACACCCAGGTACCTATTTTACTGCTAGATAACATGGGTGAAAGATAGGGTGAAACCTTTTCACCTTTCATAGGGTGAAAGAAACTCTTCCCAAATGTTTCTCGCCGGCGCCCGGGATCGAACCCGGGACCACAGGATCACAAGTCCAGCGTGCTGTCCGCTCGGCCGACCGGCTCCCACTTAACCCCATCAATAATGTCAAGTAGGGATGTTAAGAAGCAAGTCATTGCCACAAGGGACTGTAAGACAAGGCTCTGATGCTCTCCTTACAAGCACGTATAGGTGAGCTTATATAGGTGGTACTCATGCCTTCATTAGTACTCACCTAATTGTGCTTGCGGGGGTTGAGCTCTGGCTCTTTGGTCCCGCCTCTCAACTGTCAACCAACTGGTGTACAGGTTCCTGAGCCTACTCAGGTCTGTTCACTGGTCTAATTTATCGTGCTTAACATCCTAATTAATTTTCTTTAACCTACGAGAGCATTTTATTTGATAAAGTGAGCATTTAATTTGATGTTTATAACTGTGCTTTTATTTTATTCTGAGCATTTCCGTTGTTCAGTTCCGGTCTAACATAGTGTCCACTGCTTAAGAGGCAGGTGATACGTGGCAGAATGTGATTGGTCGAACGGTGTGTCGTCATCCAATGAGCGTAGTGCCCGGTGACGTCATTCAGACTTTCACCGCCCAGACGGGATCCTGCAGTGGTCCCCTGGCACTCCTAGGGTCAAGGGCCCGGTCTCTGTCCACAGTGTTCTACTCAAACTCCAGTGGTCCCCCTGGCACTCCTAGGGTCAAGGGCCCGGTCTCTGTCCACAGTGTTCTGCTCAAACACCAGTGGTCCCCTGGCACTCCTAGGATCAACGGGCCCGGTCTCTGTCCACAATGTTCTGCTCAAACACCAGCGGTCGCTGTTTGAAGAGTCATGACATAGCGACGCTCTGAAAGCGCATATTAAAGAGCGGCCAAAATGATCCTGAAAGAAATTCGACGACAAAGAGGAAACAGAGATTCTTGAAACTCACAGTAAATCAAATAATAGTTCACAATTATATTCAACAAATCAATCTTAAGTAATCTGATAACTCTCGGATGAATTTTAAGAAAGCAGAAGAGTCCAGAGAAGAACTACTTGATCGGTATTGTTCACCACAGTGGCATCTACATCAATTAGAACATCTGTCTGTCCGAAGTAGGAAGCCAGACGCCTGGAGCTAGCCACACTCAAATTCTCGTGTATGAAACATGAGGGCATGTGAGGCTCACAGGCTAATCCGGGTAAGTCCAAGTGCCATGTTTTAAGAAATATCAACATCAATAGCCACCCTCCTGCGGTTTTCATGAAGTCAAATAAAAATCGGTCATGTGTTTTCGGTAGAGTTTTCGAAGCCTACTCTAATATTCTTCCATGAAATACTATAAAACGATGAACGTGAATTCATTTAAGTTTAAATTTTACATTTTCTGAAAGAGACAGAAAGAGGTGGAAAGGATTAAGAAAGGCGGGGGGGGGGAAGGTTGTTGTTGTTGTTAAAGATTTTCTACCTGGAACACGGGAGAAAGGGGAAGATGAGAGGAGAAGAGAGTGGGGGGGGGATTGGGGATGAAAGAGGGGGTAGAGAGACCCAGGCACAGCCGGGTACACTATCTAGTGTGTTGAAACATGTATGGTGCAAGTAACAACATCAGTAGACTGGTAAATGTTGTCCCGGCTCGTGCACTAGGCTACAGCTGAGTCGTCCGGCCAACTCTTGTAAGGTTAGAATAGATGACTTTCAATTCACGTTTTTCATAACGTTTTGCGCCAGATCATCTTGTAGGGGTAACTTGCCAAATAATATGTGACGTACGTGTGAGTATTTACATAATAGTGAGGTCTAGTTCTTTATGTCCCGCCTACTAGGCTAGCTGTACCTGTTACGTTATAATTTAAATATTCTGACGTTCAAATTCTTTGTCTCTTCAAGTTGTGGATAGAGGTGGCTTCTACAACTTTTTCTTTGTATTCCACTTGTTGATCATCCTTACAGGATACAAGTATTACCTTACATTTTATCGAATCGTTTGTATTTCAAGCTTCCAGCTGTGTGTGTGTGTGTGTGTGTGTGTGTGTGTGTGTGTGTAATTACCTAAGTGTAATTACCTAAGTGTAGTTACTGGATGAGAGCTACGCTCGTGGTGTCCCGTCTTCCCAGCACTCTTTGTCATATAACGCTTTGAAACTACTGACGGTCTTGGCCTCCACCACCTTCTCACTTAACTTGTTCCAACCGTCTACCACTCTATTTACTATTTAAACTACCACTCTATTTATATTGTGTGTGTGTGTGTGTGTGTGTGTGTGTGTGTGTGTGTGTGTGTGTGTGTGTGTGTGTGTGTGTGTGTGTGTGTGTGTGTGTGTGTGTGTGTGTGTGCGTGTGTCACAGTCTAGTAGTTTCAAAACGTTATATGACAAACAGTACTGTGAAGACGGCACACCACAAGCGTAGCTCTCATTCTGTAACTACACTTAGGTAATTAAAACACACACATACACACCCCACTCGGGGAGCCCTGACGGCTGAGTGGACAGCGCTCGGGATTCGTGATCCTAGAGGGTCCAGGTTCGATCCCCGGCGGAGGAGGAAACAAATGGCCAGAGTTTCTTTCGCCCTGATGCTCCTGTTCACCTAGCAGTAAATAGGTACCTGGGATTTAGACAGCTGCTACGGGCTGCTTCCTGTGTATGTGTGTGTGTGTGTGTGTGGAGGAAAAAACAAATTGATTGACAGTTGAGAGGCGGGACCAAAGAGCCAGAGCTCAACCCCCGCAAGCACAAATAGGTGAGTACACACATACACACACACACACAGGCTGCCTGTCTTCGACAAAATAAATAATTATTATTATGGGGAAGCACTGGACCAACCTTGTCCTAACACCTGTACCACCTGCATATGGGAACGCGCGCCAAACAACGGAATACGATTATTGACCTTTGGTTTTCGATTCAGCCGTCTGGCATTTCTCTTCACCGGTCCGCTTTACACGGCGCCTGGTCACCCCTTTATCGCCTGGACTAAGAAGGTTAGGTTAGGTTGTGATTTTCTATTCAGCTTTTCAAGGTAAACTCAAATATTCACAATAAATTAGTATGTCACATATGCACTTATGAATAATCAAGATATTGACTATAAGCAAGTGCGAGAACCGCCTGGAGTCAAATGGAAGCTGATAGATTTCATTTTCTTCCACATTTTCCGGTTGGCCCTTCGGGTAGGGAGACTGTGTCCGACGCCATCTTTGGGGAAAGGTGCCCAAGGTACCGGGATCAAGCTGGTGTTTCTCCTGGCGTGGTGGGCGTCAAGCTCCTGTTGTCCCAAAGGTCACTGGACGATATTGCTCAACTTTTGCCCGATTTCTTGTTTTTTCCCCCCTTGAGTTTTGAGAGGCCTTCGTAATTTTGCCGTTAGGCTTTTCCTTTGTTCGATCCCCGGCCAGAGTTCATATAGGGGTCAGGAGACGCCTGACGCCTTATCGTCTGGGATCACTGGGATGTCAATGGCTATATAGTCTTCCATTGTAGCTGATTTTCTGTGTGGGTGGTGTCCGGTGCTCACCTCCCTGGGGGACGCCAGACCGGGTTGCCAAGCATCTACCGAACAATGGTTATCGCCGCAAGGCACAGTAGTTTTTTTTTTTCGCTGACAAAGAACATAGCCTCCGGGCTACCAGTTTTTTTCCCGTCACTGGAACGACTGGGTACGTACGACCATGTGCTGTAGCTGCCACTAATTAAATATTAACAACAACGACCATGTTATGGGCGGCGACAAAGGCTGCAGTCACAAAAACGGTGTCAATAACTGGACCCCCATGTTTTTTTTGTAAGCTAAGCCATTAAATTTGCATCAGATTTGTGGTCAAGTTACACAGGAAATAGTCTAATAATTAGACTATTATTAGTAGTACTGTAATTAGTGTTACAATAGGCATGAGAGAAGCAAGTATAAGAGACTTGCAGGCAGTGAGAGCTTATAGAATAGGCATACATTATAAAAAGTATATGCAAACTTAGAATATTTGACCATAGGATTTTTGGTATTATATCATTCTGTATTAAATACATGAGCATTTCTTGAACAATAGTGGTATAGTTATATCTTAATTCTAATTATTAATAATTATATTATTATTATTATTATTATTAATGAGTTTATTCCAATGACCTTAAGGTAGTAGCAACAATTTACAGTGTTCAAGCTTGCAGGGCGCCCCCCGGGTCCCCCGTGCCACTGGAAACATCACCTTCTCTCATCAAAACATAAACACGGCAGACGATGGCTTTGTACATGCGCTAAAAATAGAACTCAATTATGATTCCATATCCGAAAGTTAATCAGCCTCTCCGACATAGAAAAACAAATAATTTCGTGTGCTTATAAATAATGTTAATGAAAAATATTTGTAGTATTTTATAATTTGCGTGTGTAATATAAGGAAGAGCTGGTAAAGGTTTGCAACTCCGAACAGAGTTGATTGGTGGCATTGCAGCCGCAGGGAGGTTGTCTGCCTTGAGTCGTGGCAGCGGAGTGTGAGGCCACGGACACGTCGGCGCTGCGGGCACGGCAGCTTATCCCTTGACACACCCGTTATTCCTCCTCCACTCACACCGGCTAAGACTTCCTTCTCACTACTGCTTCTGTCTCCCACTAATTCACCTCCCTATAAGGTATTTTTGGGGGTTTCCCGCAAAATGTGCCTTTCTTTGCATATTTACGTTCACTGGAGATATAGAACTGCAAGTTTTATATGTATATGATAATCTCTTTTGAAGTTCTTGTTTACAGTTTTAATCAGAAATGCGAAGAGTGAAATTTATGGAAATTACATCCATTCACATATGCTAATGTTCTTAATGCTACTTAGAACAAGTGTCATGAGCGGTTGCGACACACTTGCCCTGTAGTAACCCAACCTGGTTAAACAAAGGTTGACTTGGTGGTGGAGGGAGTTGATAGCGGGCAACTTGTCTCGGTAAACTTGAAATCAGTTTGGGTGAGTGAAAGTAAAGTGATTTTACTAATTTCCAGCCTGAGAATACAGAGCAGTCACATTATTGTGATTATTTAGTGAGAAAATCCAGCCTGTGAAAATTGGGTAGTGATTGTTAAGTGAAAGTTCTGAGACGTTGGCATAGGACAATAATATGTTCCAATAGATTTTTAGCAGTATATATTTAGTATTTATCAGAAGTAATCTCGTGTTCATGAAAGTGATCCTTAAACACAAAAAAACTTAAATATCATAGCTGAGTGCATAAAATGACACCAGCATGAGAAAACTATTATTAATTAAGAATTACTGTATGTAATAAGCATTAGATTTGAGATATATATTGTTGTCTTGGTTCATCATGCTAGGTGTGGGTTGTATAACCATTTTAAGCATTGACAGAAAGGCCTCGAATGAATGGCATTTAAACCACAATATATAACTTTTAGAAAAATCACATAAAAAGGATTTGGTAATTTTGGATGAAATTTCTTTGGAAAGATTGCCTATGCTGTGAAAAGTGACACACTTCATGTTATTCAGTTTAAGTAGAGTGTCATTTCCCCCACTGTATCTTAGGTACAGTATTTATTTTTCTCTTATATATTGGTTAAAGGTTGTAGGGTACAGTACTTTCTTGTATTTGGGAGGCTGTTCTTCAATTTTGGAATCTCTCTTTGCATGTCATTTCTGCTTTGATTGTTTCGAACTTTGAAAACATTAGAGATACAGTACTAATTTTTCATGTGGTGTCTGGAAGTTCTGTTGCAGCCTTCTAAAACAGATTGGTCAGGATTGGAATTATAGTTCAGAATTTTAAAGTACTTTTTAGGCTTTTAAGTAAATATGAGAATGTGGATGTTTTTATGTTTAACATGTTTCAAGGAATCAAGTAATTAGGGGACCTTGGTATTTTTTTTTTTTTGGAATGCCAAGTACTAATACTGTGAGTGCATTATGGGTAAATTAATGAAAAATATACTGTATAGTATAATCAGAGCAGAACAAGATACATACAATAGTATGTAGCATATTTTAGGTTACAGTAATATCTTGGTTTTTTAATTTAATCTTTAATTTTTAATTTAAGACGGGTCGTAAGCTGTCAAAAATTCACAACCCGAAAAAAATTTCCCATAAGAAATAATGTAAATTGAATTACACTCCCAAAAATATTAACTTAAAATACATTTCATACATAATACACACAAATATTTTGTATTATAGTATGTACAAGTTATAGCTTACCTTTATTGATGACTCTTGATGGTGTATGGAAGATGGTGAGGAGGGGGGAGGAGGAGAGGTGTTGGTGTTTGTTAGTCCCTTTCCATTATAACATCAGTCAGTGATGACTTCTCTGAGGTACTCTCTCTCTCCTACATTTTGCAGGCATACCACTAGGACCTGGTTGTGGCTCACTGCTTGCTTGTCTTACTAAGAATCTGTCTAAACAAAATTGTTTTTTCCTACATTTTAACACTTGTCTGTAGTGAGACATCACATTGTCACTACAAAGGTCAATGCCCGAAACGCTATGCGTGCTAGTGGCTGTACAGGAATGTAAGAACTCCTGTATATATGAATAAAAAAAAATTTGCAACGGCCTGCTACAGCTTTATCTGGGTGAGTTTTTTCAACAAAACTTTGCAGTTCTTCCCATATTTCACACATTTTCTTAATGCGGAAGGGACATCCTCTGCTGCCTCTACTCACAACTATTTCCTTAAGTTGAACCTTGAACCCTACTGACTTTCTTGGGATGCATGGTGTGATATATAATAATTACTTTTATGTTTAAAAACCCAAAAAAGCAGGTTTTACTGCTGACCTTAACATATGGACCAAAACATATGGACCATTTTAAGTTTAATTCTGTGCCAATTAAGATGTTTGGGATTGTGGTTAATTGTAGTTGTCATTTGCAAATAGCATTGGCTGAGGTGATGGGTGCATATGATACATTCATTGATGTACATGAGAAAGAGAAGTAGACCAAGAATACTGCCATGGGTAATACCAATACATGGGTAATACATGGACAAATTGCCATTGAACCCGAAAACAATGAAATTCTTTACAAAGAATTCAATAGTGTTCGTCACTAAGCGGGAGGCATTGGTAAACTGAAGCGCGGTCACCACAGGAACCATGTGCTCGGTTGACCCATATGTGTATCAACAAAGTTGCAAAGCCAGGCAACGTTCATAACCCGATTCAAATTTTCAAAAGAAATTGAGTTCGTAATGCAAAAAATTAAAAAAGAGGAACGTTCACTACCCGAGGTTCCACTGTATGCTCATACAGTACTTTGATATACAGTATGCTGTACTGTATTGTAACCTGTGGCTCAGTGGTCACCACCGTCGGCTCTCAACCAGCACATCCAAGGTTCGAATCCTGGGCAGGGTGAGACAGCTAGGTGTGTGTCCTTACACCTGTTGCCTCTGTCCACCTAGCAGAACTGTAATTAGGCACTTGGTTGTTAGTCGACTGTTGTGAGTCACTTTCTGAGGAATGGTCAAATACCGTTCCTATTCGAGAAAACTTTGAATTTCACACAAAGAAACAACATATGGCAGTCAGTTAAATTTATGTTGGTCTAGAAATTTTTCCTCTGTTCTCTCAATTTGAGCATTCCTTATTCTTACATCTATTAGGCTGCTAGATTCATTTCCAAATAGTATGTAGCAATAGTGTGTCAGGGAGCCTGACAGCTGGGTAGACAGCACTCCGGATTCGTAGTTCTGAGGTTCTGGGTTCGATCCCCGGTGGAGGCATAGAGAAAAATAGGCAAAATGTTTCTTTCACCCTGATGCCCCTGTTACCTAGCAGTAAATAGGTACCTGGGAGTTAGACAGCTGCTACGGCTGCTTCCTGGGGGGTGTGTAACAAAAAGGAGGCGAGGTCAAGATCCAGGTCGCGGGGATGCTAAGCCCCGAAATCATCTCAAGATAACCTCAAGATAGCACTATAATTTATATTAATGTTGAGGCTGAGTTTGTAAGATAATCATAATAAATACTAATTCATTGTGTCGGGAGACAGGCAGCCAGAGTATATTTGTACACATTAGGCTTATATAGAGGTCCCCTCCCCCCAAGGTTGTATTACTGTCCCTGCCTAGGATGCAACCCCACAACAAGCTGACTAACAACTGACTACCTACTTACTGCTAGGTGAGCAGGGGCATTAGGTGATAGGAAACGCACTGAATCATTTCTGTCCCGCCTGGGATTTGAACCCAGAATTCTCGATTGTGAGTCGAGAACGAATCCAACTGTACTACCGGGACCCAAAGTTGACCACATACAGACTGTTTTGAGTTTAATTCTGTGTCAATTAAGATGTTTGGGATTGTGGTTAATTGTGGTTGTCATTTGCAAATACTGTAGTATTGGCTTAGGTGATGGGTGCATATGATACATTCATTGATGTACATAAGAAAGAGAAGTAGATCAGGAATACTGCCATGGGTAATACCAGCATTATTTGATAGTGTAGGAGAAGCAGCTCTTCTTTTATGTATAAAAGAAGGAGCTGCTTTATGTATCATTCTTTTATGTATAAAAGAAGAGGAGTAGATCAAGAATGCTACCCTTGTCAGTGCTAATATTTGAGTACGATCTCATCATGTATGAACTGAAGTTACTCTGACTTTCTTAAGGATATCAGAGGGAGCATGTACTGTATTTTTAACACTTTATTGCTAAGGAATATGGCTGGCACTAACACACAAGATCTTTTGATCCATTAGGGATGGCATTTCAGATAGTTGCCAGGTTTGCTTTAAAGTGAGCATATTGTAAATATAACTCATAAGGCATTCGTTAGGATAGCGGTAGAGAATTGAGGCAGTTGCCATTAAGATAGCTATTTCCCTTGGTTTGTGTCACTGCGTTTTTATTTGCAAAGTTTCTTTCTATTCATAAGAAGATACTTCAGTATTAAGTACCTTGGCAGTGACTCACAGCATGAGTCTACCATTGACAAAATTCTGTCAATTTATTAATCTAGTGAAGTTGCCCATTGTTTAAAAAAAACTGCTCTTTATATTATATTGAATAACTTTGAAAAATAGATTTTATGTAATTCATTTTTCAATTATGCCTAATTTTTATTTCTTCATATAGTTTTTTTGTTGGCTGAATATTTCTTTTGTAAGCTGTGGGTTAGTAATTTGTTTAGTTTGCATCAGATGATGTGTGTTTTACAGCGGAATAGTGCAGGATACTTTTTTAGGTAATTGCTGAAGTTTGTTTAATCCATCTGTCGTATATTGTGACTGGTATAATGAATGGACGTGATTTGTTTCTTTAACCCTCTTTCACTGTACAGTATCATTCATTTTCTCCAGATTGATATCTGCTCTACCCTTGAAAAGTTAAAAATTAGGTAATAATATATAAGTACAGTACATATGTATTGAACAGTGTGTATGAATGCATGTCTTATGTATTAAACAGCATGTATGAATGCATGTATGTACTTAAGTACAGTATATATGTATGAAGCTTATTGTTGAATTCATTCATGAGCTTTGTAAATCAGTTCAGCACACTGCTAGGTTGCTTATTACAATTTTTCCACTTGATATTCTGTTCCAGAGTAAAGATTGAAGAAATTAGGAAGCAATGCATCTGCTTTGGAATGTCTTAGCTGCAGCAATGATTGGGTGTTGTATTTTTATACCACACCTCTCCATAGCTGCAGAGGGTAACCATAGTTCGCACTGGAATGTTGACTGGGGTCCACAACCAGAAAATGTCACAGATTTTACTACTTTTCTGTAAGTATTACATATATGTAATTTTAGTGCTATAGGTCTTTTGATTAACAAAAAAAAATGTTTGTACCTAATCCAAAAGTAAATATTCTTGTTAGTGATGGTCCTAAAGTGCATTGTTTCTGTAGTGTGTGGAGTATAGTGAAGGAGCTTTACATTGATAAAGTGAATGAAAATCATTCAGACACCAATGCATTGTTTCATTCAGACACCAATGAAAATGCAGGAGATGAGTCACAATAACGTGGCTAAAGTATCGACTTGAGAATGATCCAGGACGGACCGAAACGTCGTCGTCCCTTCACCTTCTAGTGTGTGGTCTGGTCAACACCAGTGAAAATCATTGACACCAGTGCATTGTTTCTCTAGTGTGTGGAGTATATTGAAGAAGCATGACATTGATAAAGTGAAGAAGCTTTACATTGACAAAGTGAATGAAAATCATTCTGCTACTAATTTTTGTAAAATTATTTTTTATCCATATTTAAATTTTCTGCAGTAAAATGTATTACAACAACTTGAAAACTCAGATATCTGTGATAAGCTTTGTCAATTTTGATATTAAAGGAAAATGTCAAAGCCAAACCACAAGAAAGGTAACATAAATAGTTATGCAGGAGATTAAAAAAAAAAAAAATATTAAAGTCTGTGTTTGCCATGGGATAATTTATAAATATATTACCTGCATGGGTAATATATTTATATACCCTGCATATTAATCAGACATAATATAATAATCGGACAACGACTGCCAGCTCGACTGGCTCAGAACTCTTTCAACAGTGGATCAAGATAGAGAGCAAATAATGTAAGACTAAAAACAGCACTTGTTTGATCCCATTTTGAGAAATATTCACAAAGGACAGTACTTCATTTCACAGCTAATTTGCATACGTGATATTAAATACTGTATATAGATACAGTATCTAGCAAAGTCAGGACATACTTTCGGGCATACTTTTCTGTTAGGCAATGGATGAATACTATTTCATAATATTTATAACTTCTTTGACTTTGTTGCTCCACATTGTTCACAAGGCATGTGCCTACCACCCAATGACAATGGGAAAGAGGGTAATAATGTAATATTAATAATGACTATACATCAGTAATAATGACTATACATCATCTTACTCCCTTCAGTTGAGTACAAACATACAGATATGTGCTCACATGACAAGGGTTGTATTTATCAACATTTAGCAGGAAGACATGCTGGTAAACTTAAAGATTCTTAAAAATATTTCTTAATTTGTTTATTTTAATTATAAATGAAAAGAACAACACCAAACAGAGGCCATTAATTTATGCTGCTATTTGTTTGCAGGTGGTATGGATACTCTGCCAATAAGATTAATTTCACACAAGAAGATTTTCAATTATTTGTAGACTGTACAACGGGGAGACGTGAGTGTCCTCCAATTAGCAGAGAGCCGGCTGTGTCGATATTGACAAACTGCAATGAGAACAAAGCTTTATCCTCAACTCAGTGCAATATAGTAGATATGGTATGTTGATTTGTTAATTTGCTTATTTTTGTTAAAACTTACTCAGATTTGAGAGAGTGAATTGGAGTGCAATGGTCTGTGTTCTCTGCTCACAACTAAGGATCTCCATGTGGGACAGAGATGGTTGGGCATGTTGCCTTTTGCTGGATGCCTGTATGCACTTGGCGTTAAATTCGTAGCTGGGAATTAGGCAAGTGTTGTGGGTTGCATCCTGGGAAAAGTTAGTAGATGACCTAGAGGGAATTTCATAAGCCTCAGAGAATTCCTGTTTCTGACTCGGGGGGGGGGAAATCATAAGGTAAACAAAGTGGCTCACTTTACAGATGGATCTACTTGTGGTGTACTGTACACAGAAAATGCAGCTTTACTGATAAAACCTAGACATTTTGTAACATTATTATGTTGTGTTGATTTAGGGGCGACGACGATCATGGGATCGGATGCGCCAACATTATTATGGTTTCTCATTGTCATGGACAGGTTATCTGTTTAGTTTATCAAGGTTTCCCCTAGTCCTTGACTGATCTTTCCCAGTATGCAACCTACAACAGTCCAGTAACTCTTAGGTACAGTATCTGTTTACTGTTAAGGTAAACATAGGTATCTGGTGTAAGGAAATGTGTCCTAACACTTTGTTCAGCCTGGGAATCAAATCAAGGGCCTGACAACAACATATACTGGGACTGATCAAATAACTTTTTTGACTGATTTGTATTTGTGTTTATAACTTTGTCCAGTTAATGGGTTTGTCTGGTTATGCTCACAACTCCTCTGCCAGCCACACAAGTGCTGGATAAGCATTGTTTTATGTACAGTACACACTAACTTGTACTCTCTAATGACTCTTTGGTACATTAGGGTACTTAATTTCCATCTGTTACCCTTTGTTTTGTGCCACCTATGCTAAATAGTCTCTCCATGTCCTGTCGGGAATCAAACCCGAGACCGTTTGGTCGTGACCCAACTGGGCTGACCACTGTATTATCATCTATTGAACAGAGTACCAGGTATAGTATTTCTTCTAAGTTTTGAATAAATTTGAATTATCCAAGTCTGCGAGGTAACAAACTCGTTGTTTGATTAACGTATTTGATTATTATTGTCTGTCTTAAAATATACAGTTTTCCAAAAGACATGTGGAAGATTATACTGTATTTACATTGCAGAGCTTGGCTACTTAAATGTTATATCCATTACATGATATATTTTTTCCTTATGGCTATACTATAGATTATATATGATTATACAGTATACAGGTACCATAATAAGAACCCACTAACATCTTACAGTACAGGAAATAAAAGTTTATAAGGTAAAATTTTTTTTTTTACCTATTTATCATAATTCACTTCTTGATTTTCCTTTACAGTGTAGAGATAATGATATACTGAAAACATATGGTTTTGAGGACAATATTCTGGGTGTGGAGGATCTACAAGCTCTGCTGCCAGTTGTTTTGTACCATTCTCATAACAAAAATAGCTGCAGTCTGGAATCAACTGAGAAACAAACTAAAATGAAGCCCAGATCTGCAGAGGGTAAGAATTAATTTTGTTTACAATCAAATGTATGTCATACTTGGGTTAGAAGCTGTTGCAAACTAAGTGAGAAATGAGGCTTCTTGTTTGCAGCCAAAGATCTGTCAAGATACTTGTATCTCATTATACTGTTTTTACTTGAGTTCCTTGTTATCTACCATACACATTCCAGTATGTATTCCATTTGTACTAGCATCCTGCTTCAGTTTTTATTTCTTCAGTTTCCTCTTTATTCATTTATGGCATTCTTTTTTAATTCTCCTTCCCCAATAATTTACATTCTCCTCATGTACAGTATTTTCTTCTATTATTTATCTGAGGGCCGCTATGAATGAAAAGAATTATGTGAAAAAAATTTCAGTATAATGAAAGGATTTGTAAGCCAATGAATCTTACAAATTCTTTCATCATATCAGTTAATCTTTTAAGTATTAAAATATATAAAGGAGAACTTGAACAGTTTGCAAAAGGATTCCATACCTTACGGGACTTGTTACACATTTGCCAGTTTCAGCGAGACTTCAAAATATGGAAAGAATTATTACACAATAAGGGTAAAAACAAACACAACATCAGGAAAAATGAACAAGGGTAAAAACAAACAGAAACCCAACATGGGTAAAAACAGAATGAAAGATTGATATAGGAAATGATGAGCCAGCCACAAACAATTAAATGAGCATAAATATAGAAGAACAAATGAAACTCGTGATTAGAGAAGGCCAATATTTAGTTAACTAAATATTGAGGCATATATATTCAGGTAAATATAACATGGACACGTCCATTTGTACACCTGAAAGCTACAGTAAAATTAAACTAATATTGTTCCATTATTAAATAACTTTTTAGGAATTCTCACAAGTCATCGATAAGTAGATTGACTTCAGGTGAATGCCGAGGATGCAGACTTTACCTCCTCATCTTTATGGTTGCAGAGAATTCTCTGCCCATAATCATGGGCTGCCTACACATCTGGACCGTTTAATTGACTGCTAGTCTTTCTTAAAATTATATACAGTACAGTACATATATGAAATTTAACATTCTTGGTTATATAATAATAATTTTATATATATATATATATATATATATATATATATATATATATATATATATATATATATATATATATATATATATATATATATATATATATATATATATATAATATGTATGTATATACAGGTATATAATATATTTATTTATTTATTTATTGTGGGGCTACGGTCTTCTGTTTGTGACACTCATCTCTCTCTATACTGTATACAGTATATACATACTGTACAGTATATAAAATGCTGTATATACCGTATTTGATCATCAGTAGCTTGATATCAGATTAACATGTGAATAACAATTTACTGCATGATGAGTTTCTCCATTATACTGTATGTATCCGAGCCATATAAATTTTTAACATGTTTTTCCTTAATGCTCTATTTTTGGGTATCTTGGCTTGTTAGTATTTTGTTTCGTGATTCCTTGTCTTCTATTTTCTTTGCTGGTCAGTGTGGGGCTATGGGCTTCTGTTTGTGACGCTCATCTCTGGGTGTTCCCTGGCGGGGGTTTCGGTGTTGCCGCTGATGGCACATAACTTTTACCAGCAGCTGCTTACCGTCCTGGTTGGCTTGGCAATGGGGTCTCTGGCAGCTTCGTCCCTCTTCCACCTCATCCCTCAGGTGGGTTGTTGCAGATTTCATAGAATGAGTTTTTGTCGTAGAGAAGACTTTAATGCAACATGGCTTGGGCAAACTAAAATATACTGTATTACTACGTAAGATTGTTTTATTAGACAAACTGTAATTTAATCTTTTAATGTTCTGATTTGTACTGTACTTAAATTTGTTATGAACGTATTTCTTTACTAGTCTTATTTGCCTACTAAGCAGAATTTGTATGGATCTTCTAACATAGGCTTCTATGCACATAACCTCTCCAGTCACCCATTTATATTTCTTTGTGTACAGTATATATATATATATCTACTCACCATTGTCCAATATAGATACTGTATATTGTATATGTGTAAAAATATATATATCTTCTGCTTATCCTTATTTTCCCAATTTCTGTCTCTTACATATGTTAAAAATCTATGAAAGGTCATTTGAAACATTTACTTACAAACAGTACATGCCAGTGACCCATCAGAGCTTCACCTTAGTGTTTTCAGACCACTTAGGTCATGTTTTACAGAATTATCAGCTGGTAAAGTTGGTGGAGAGTACTTGTTCAACAGACACTCAGGAAACTTGGAAGCCTTCTGCTGCTGTTTGTTCGTGGAAAAATCCTCGGGAATAATGGGGGAGGGAGATATTTAACAAGTTACTGGTATCATGTCCCTGTCTAGGTCACAGGAGATGGTGACCTTGAGGTATATTCAGGTAAAAATGATTGATAGTGATCTTCTAAATGAGTTCCCTTTACTTTGTCTGATGAGAGATACAGTTATATAAGAGTTGATTGATGGATTACTCATAAGAAACTGAGCCATTGGGAAGAGAGAATGCAAGGTATTATGGCTTCTTTTTCTCGTCCTAATAATACGTCAAGGTCCATTCAAGGGCCAGGGTGTAGGGTGATAGGAAGGGTGATGGGTCAGTTTTGCCTCAGATGCCTTGGCTTTCAACAGAGCAGTATGTAAGTAGAATAGTGCCTGAATAAATTGATATAAAGAAAGTACTAGTTAACTTGTTTACACTGGTTTTACTGGTTCCTAGAGTAGTTTTCCTCTTTGTACATAGAAGAGCAGAGACTAGAGGCAGTTTATGATTTGCAAGGCTAGTTCATGTACTGTATGATCATGTGTGAGTACAGATGTTCAAACCGGATACAGTAGCATGTTGTTATGGCTAAGTAACTTCTGTACTCTTCTGAGCAGTTCAAGTTGGATACATTTCTGTAGTTTTTATTGTGGGTCACAATTTATTATAGCTTCAATTGATGATGGAGAACATGTCTTTGAAGTACATACAACTTCTTGAGTCCCCTCAGCAGAAAGTAAACATTTAAAGATGGTTCTTCTACGTAGCATAAAACTAACAATTTCCAGCTGGGTGGGACCTGTATAGCTGATCTGAGTTACGTCAGGAATGATTCAACAAAATATTTAAAAGTTTATATTTAATGATTTTGATATCAAAGTACAGTACTGTACTTTATGTGCAAAATTATATTCTATCATTTAAACTGATTAAAACATAATAATTGTTGCTAGAGTAATAGTGAAAAATATAGAATTTCACTATTAATGCTGGAAATAGGTCAAAATTATTAACATAGGATCTTCTGCCACAAATTGGATCTTGTATATCTTTCCTAATCCAATCCAGCTGAGTTGTACCTCAGATGTAGGTCATGTCTATGGACCTCCCATGGCAAACTTGACAAATTTACTGTTGTATGTTGATCGTACAGTGGGGTTTTTGATGATTTAGACATTGACAATCCAGTTGAGGAGTAACTGCTGTTGTTTAGCCAGGCATATGTCAGTGAAGTCTGGACTCTATAGGCAGTGTCCAAGGGTCTCTGTTGGCCCTGGTTACCCTGAGATCCTTCTCCAGTGTATACAACCACAACCATCAATAGTCTGATTGGAATGGATCTGAGACACCAGGTTGGCATTTCTCTCTCTTAGAGACTGCTTTCATATGGTTGCATGGTTATCTCTAAATGGTTCTGTGGTGCTATTCAGGCATCTGTTTTCTCATCAGCATTTCAAGCAGCTGCTGGAGTGCCTTATCTTCCTGTATGGTCTAACTGCTGTGTTGCGTACGTTTGAAGAGTCTTTACCACTTTATCTTGAGGTCAGTGTTGTGCTGGTCTCGGGACCAGTACAACACCACAATGTGTCTCAATCAGACTCCAAGAGTGTTGAAGACGATTCTTCATCACCACACTCTTCTTTGGGTTTGGGGCGGGGGTCAGTTCCATGGCACCCTTCTCCATCAACTGACCACTTTACAGACTCTTAGTTCTGATTTTGAATTGCATGCATATTCTTTTATCAGTATCAAGCTCATCTTCACTTGGAGCCAAAGTGGTTGCTGGATAAAGTTTTAGTGTCTGTCCTCTCCTTGCTTTCCACGAGCTTGTTACTGGAGGACCGCTTACTGAAGACTGTTTTGACTGTATTGTCAGTGAAGTGCATGCTCTTGATAGATGGAGAATTATTGCTCTTCGGTACTGGGGATCATTTTGTGAGTCTTCAGACAGTGGTTATTATGTTAATAAGAATTGCAAGGTGAATGTTTTTTTTTTCACCCGATTTCCGACTGCATATCAAGGTAGTACGTTGATCTCTGATCTTCGTGAGCTACCCTGCCACATGGAGAAAACAAGACAGTTGGAAGTGTGCTTGCCTTTGGTGTACCGAGAATTAAACTGAGGGAAGATGCAACCCAGAAAAGGGCATTTTATTACACTCGACGCTGTATTTGTATAATCTGTTTCCTATGACTTTCTTCGCAGTACTGTACTTTAATGTGATATAAATAAACGAGGGAATGAGATTAATAGATTATAAAGTGTAAAGTTTCTTATAAAATATGTAAAATTGAGTCTATGGATATGTATTGTACATGGATGACAGTGCAGTCCAGAAACTCATAATAATGTTAATGTGGAATGATAGGGATAAAACTAGTCATGAAATCATTTAGTTCTGGGTCTTAATTAAGACTTTTTCCATAAAATAATGTTAATCAGTAGGAAAAGTGATTTAAATGACTATCTGCGTTACAGTTTTTAAGGAAATTTGTACTGATTGATTTTTTTTTTTCAGGCTTTCAGATTAAGATGGGCTAAGGTATGTTAAGTCTTATCTGAAGACTCGGAACACTTTTGTTGTTAAGATAAATACTACTGTAGTTGTATACGGCTGATAATGACAGGTATAATTTGCAGAGGGCCACTAGAGATGGTGGCTGTTAGGTAAATTGAGGTAACAGGTGTCTATGAGTACATAACAAGTACAGTGTGGCCTTGATTTATGATGGTAATCCGTTCCCAGAGCCGTATCGTAAGTCGAAACGATTTTTCCCATAAGAAATAAAGGGAATTGAATTAATCCGTTCCACACCTTCAAAAATATTAACTTAAAAATACATTTTATACTGAATACAATTTTTTCCTCCAGCTACTTCTCTGAGGTACACACTCTGGCACGTTTTGCCTGCATACCGCTAGGACCTGCTTCTGGCTCACTGCTTGATTTTCTCATTATAAATCGTTCCATTGAAGATTGTTTTTTACTTCTTTCCAACACTTGTCTGTAGTGAGGCATCACATTGTCATTAAAAAGATCAATGCAACGGCCTGTTACAGCTTTATCTGGGTGATTCTTTTCAGCAAAATTTTGCAGTTCTTCCCATACTGCACACACTTTGTTAATTAATGAGGAAGGGACATCCTCTAATGCCGTCGCCTCCTCCTCCTCTGAAGATTTGTTGTACTGCCTAGCTAGTTCAACAACACGAGTACCATTTTCATGTTTACATATGATCTCTTGTTTTTCCTCTATAGTCATTCTTGCATGTGTTTTCATATGTTGAACCTTACCACTGTCTTTCTTGGGACCCATGGCGTGATATATAATAATCAGTTTTATGTTCAAAAAGCAAAAAAATCATCACAAAATGGAATTTCTTATAAGCGTGATCGTCACTAAGCAGGCGGCTCTAGTAAACTGAGGCAGATCGGCCCGCGTGACCGGGAGCCATGCGCTCAGTCGACCCGAACGTGTATCAACGAATATCGTTAAACGACGAAACTATCGTAAGCCGAGTCACATTTTTCGATCAAATTTATATCGTAACCCGAAATTATTGGAAGTCGGAACAATCGTAAGTCGATGTGCCACTGTACTGTACTCAGGACACGTGTATTGTTTGAAACATGTTATTACAATTTCCCAGATCAAGCCAATTATCACCAATTAATATGGCCATAGTGCATATAGAGTGTATGATATTGATTCCATCACTGCATAACATCAAACATTGTGTACAACTCTGAATTTATATTTGCCTTACTTCATTTATTTTCAGACGTTAAGCGATGGAACATCGACCCACAGTCAACATGATTACTTATTCATCTCTCTCTATGTTCTGGTGGGCATGTGGAGCTTCTTCATGATTGAGCGCATGATCAAAATCATCCTCACTCACCAAGCATCAAAGGTGTTGTCTTGAATAAATTATAAATATATTCGTACTGTGTGTGTGTGTGTGTGTGTGTGTGTGTGTGTGTGTGTGTGTGTGTGTGTGTGTGTGTATACTGTATATATATGTATGTATTGCCATTGCATATTTCCCCATGTATAGCTGGGTAAATGACATTGATCAACAATATCTCAATATTGATTAATGTTGATTCAACTTTATTATTATTTAAGTAAAGGTTGCATGCTCTGTTATATATATATACATCTTAAACAGACCTGTGTTTTGTTTTCTGAATGAAATAATCTTTTTGTTGATTGATGAGATTATCAATCATTTTAAAGTTGACTCATTAAAACCATTACAGGATGATAATAAAGCAATTCCTGCATCTCAGTCTGAACAAACTATGCTTTACGAAAATGGTTGCGAATTACAGTCTTCCGACAGAGCAGATATAGGTGATGAAATTAACTGCAGACAATCTTCACTTTGTAAGGCTGCAGGCTTTGAGAATTCCAAGCTTGTGCCTCCCAACAATGGCTGTGTATCCAATAATGTGGAGTTGATTTATGCATCTCAGGAACAAGCCATCAAGGCATCATTTGGACACAATGAAGTAAGTTTTACATTTTGTTGTTAATTAGTATATTCATATATATATATATATATATATATATATATATGTGTGTGTGAGGGTATAAGAAATACAATCAGTTTTTGTCTATTTAGAATAGTTGGCTCTATACCCATTTTTACTAAACCTAGCAATATCATATTTGCCGTTACAGTACTTATCAAGTTTCTGTAACCAGAGTACAGTACAGTATTGGGTCATTTATAACAATTTTGCCCCCCCCCCTTAGTTTAAACACTGCCGCTAATCAGTCAGTACTTGATTGTGTTTTGCTAAATATTAGGTGAATTTAATTTTCTTAGTTCCCACAAAATTGAATCCTTTTTGGTTTGCCATTTTTTGCAACTCTTGAAAAGTTATGAACCTAGTGTGTAGTAGGGATATTATGAGAAATTACAATACCCTGCATCTCAGATTTAATGTACAGTTGTAGCCGACTGGGAGAGATTTATGCAACCCACATGTGACAAGATAATTAATAATCACGTATGACATTATTTGTATTATTATTTTAAATAATAATAGTATAATAATAATAAATAATATCTCATAATTCAACTTATGTAACCCCTTAAAATTTTTGAGTCACCTTCCCCTGAAAAAGAATGGAAGAGAAAATGGCTTCAAGCATCGTATATAAAAGAAGCGTACAGGGTAAGGCAAGAGAAAAACCACAAGGCAGTAAGAAAGGACAAACAATGCCAAAAATGCTATTGTTTGCCATTCTGTAATAATTGTACAACATGCTGGGGTGAGAGGAAACGCTGGAGTCCACCAAGTTGTGATTTTGTGAGTGGATGAAAGAATTATCAATAGACTAGATACTTCCCCTCCTCATGAAGGTAGGAAATGGGGGGAATAATAATGATGATGGATGAGGTGATATTTCCTTCGCCTTCCCCTGAAGTTAGTGCAGCTCTGAATGATCAAGAACAGCCAGTTTGCTTCCTATATATATACTTGCTAAAACATAATGAGGATGTTATATTTACTACAGAGACAGATCAGATCTAATAATAAACTGAATTTACCTTTAGGAGATTAGAAGCAGCTGTTGCAGTCAAACTAGTCCTAGTATGAACGTACTGTAATTTCATTGCTCATTTTGAAGAAAAAAATCATCTTACTAAAAACCTAATGGGGAAATTTAGCTTTTCTGTTTTCTTTTTCTATTTTCTCAAATTGAATAGACAATTTACTGTTCCCTTGCAGAGACCAATGGTACCACACTCTCACAACACACACATCGAGTTCCGACAAGGTAAAGACTCTGTCATCAAAACTGTTGCCTGGATGATCATCTTCGGAGATGGTTTTCACAACTTCATCGATGGAGTTTCCATTGGGGCAGCATTTTCAGAATCATTATTAACAGGCATTTCCATAAGCTTGGCAGTTATGTGTGAGGAGCTACCCCACGAGTTAGGTAAGTAATCAGTGATGTTTTTTATTCACTTTTAACTAAAGTTACCAAAAGTTATAGTTTTAGGATTTGGACTAGGTTCTTAGCTTTGTAGCTGGCTAGATCATTTAAGACTCAATTATATGTGATTATTAGGGAATAATTCATTAATGAAAGAACAGGTTTAGATCTTGTGTATCAAAATTATGGGCGATATTTAGCAAAAGATTGAAATTTATGGACTTATTTTCTCCTTTTGTTTGAATTTGCCACAGGTGACTTTGCCGTTCTTCTCAATGCAGGCATGACAATGAAACAAGCGGTTGCATACAATTTTTTATCAGCAACCACCTGTTATCTTGGCCTTGTATTTGGCATACTTCTAGGAGAGTTCACACAGGACAACACAGCAATATTTGCTTTAGCAGCAGGAATGTTCCTCTACATATCTCTGGTGGATATGGTAAGAAACTTATCTTCAAAACATTATTGTAATGAAGATGTAAAACTCTTTGCACTTTAAGAAGTCTTAGTTAAGACCTCCACTGTGAGCATAGTTATCATGTTATGTTAATTTGTGCCTGATGGCTTCTTATCAACAAACTCTTCCTTCTCCTAATTAGAGCTATAGACCTGAATTCTAAGATCTGTTTAGTGTCTAAATAATTCAGTTGTGACTGTGTAAGTGTTCTTTCCTGGGAAGGTTAATCCATGAGACTTACATTTACTGACTTATTTAGGGTGCACAGAGTGCACTCGGTTTTTATTAATTGTTGGCAATTAAATAGCAGTACTAACACAATAGTGCTCAACATCTTGCCTGTTATACTGTATGAGGATCTTCCACATATTATGTATATTTTCCACTTAAGATGTACATCCTTCACTTAATATGTACATCTTCCATTTACTATGTTATCAAACAATTGTGCATTTTTCTCACATTCTCTGCTGCTTAAGATCTCTCAAACAATTTGTTTTGCTCTCTGTGTAATTTATGCTTTTGTGTTTCTTTAGTTTAATCAAAGTGTAATTACCATTTCTAAAAAGAGAATGTGTTTAAAGTTAGGTTTTTGTAGGAACTGTTATGTGAAGTGAAGGTCTCTTAATACAGTACCAGATGAACTGCCATTGAAGTGTAATTTGTGAACTCTAATTGTTTAGAAACTTTATAATACAGTATGCTGAACTATTGAGCATCAAACAACTAGATGGAAGACAGTACAAAAGACGTCATTAGTTGTAGGCAAATATTTGGTAGAACTTCAATGTACTCAGTTTCCTGTTTTTTTAATTGAATAGGTCTCACCTTTACGAGTATAGTAGATTAAAATTGATACTATCGTATTCAAGATAAGGCTATGATTATTTAGCAGTTCGATTAATGATCTTAATTTTATCGCAGGTGCCCGAGATGAACGAAGTAGCCAGTAAAGCGGCAGAAGGAGGCTGGAAGGCTGCTGTTGGTATTCTCTTCCTCCAAAATATTGGCTTTTTCCTTGGTATTGCATTACTTTTCCTCTTAGCATATTTCCAGGATAATATGGTTCTTGTCTGATCAAATTTCAGACATTTCAGTTGGACATGTTCTTTTGTCAGAAGATGAGATATATTTATATAAATATTGTACTGTATGTAGAATGATTTAAATTTATTTATATATGTATATATTTAAGTAAATGGAAGATATTTAAATTTATTAACAAGTATAAATACCTTGAATATGTGATGAAATGTGTACAGTAAGGATACTGGTGGGTGCTTAAAATTCTAGTGATATGGAAAGCATAAGAAAATTTAAGAAAAGTTTGAAGTGTGGAGGAGAAGTAGAGGAAGTTGAAAAAGATGAGTTATGGGGTGAATCTGAAAGTATGGGGTATTTGTGGGGAAAGCACGGGATGAACCCGAGAAAATGTTGTGTGTATGTGGGGAATGCATGGGATGAACCCGAGAAAATGTTGTGTGTATGTGGGGAATGCACGGGATGAACCCGAGAAAATGTTGTGTGTATGTGGGGAATGCACGGGATGAACCCGAGAAAATGTTGTGTGTATGTGGGGAATGCACGGGATGAACCCGAGAAAATGTTGTGTGTATGTGGGGAATGCACGGGATGAACCCGAGAAAATGTTGTGTGTATGTGGGGAATGCACGGGAAGTAGCAGCCAACATGGGTATGCTGTCTGTTTCGAGGGACTGAGGGATTTGAAATTTATTTGTGGTACAGTAATCCATAGGTATAACTTTTACACCAGGATTGTGAACCAGGTGAAATGCCACCATGAATGGTACATAAATCTGTGACGGAGCTTGCTTCCTGTGAGCAGCCCGGGTGTGGAGGCAAGTGTCATAGGTCAAGTGTCATAGGTCAAGTGTCATAGGTCAAGTGTCATAGGTCAAGTGTCACAACGAATAATTTGACATTTATATTACATACAACACTTCCCTTCCCTCCAGGGTCATCGTTGCCTACCAATTCTGGGAAAATAAATGGGGATGTATGCTAGAGAGGATGATGATGAGGCTTATTTTAATTTTTATGTATTTTATGATTTCTAAATGAATAAATACACTAGCCACCCTTTTTGAAGCTTTGACAGTTTTGTATATACAGTACTGTATTTGAAAGATGTTTTGTAAATCAGATTTGATGGAGTGCTTAATGTTTTTCATTATTTTAAATATTGAATAGAATTCCTAAATTTAATTTATGACTTGTATTTCAAATATTAATAACTGTAAATGCAGTTGGAAATGTAGCCAAAGACTGTCTTTTGTTATTTTGTAATACATACAGTATATTCATTATGAAAAGGCTCATGCAGTAGACCTTTGTGTCCGTGAAAATGAGATATCGTGTTTGACAACTCCTGCAGTTCTTCGAAAGAACTCTCTTAACAAATTCAGTTTTATTTTTTAAAATGTTAACTGTTCTGAGCATTTAGTTCTCATGTAGGGGATCATGTAGGGAATATTAAAAAAGACCCGGGACCAGCTTTCCAAATATCATTTCTTTGTACAGTGGAACCTCAGTTGACGACTGCCCTAGAAGATGAATTTCTTGGAACACGACGTCAAATGTGTCATAAAATTTGAATTGGAATATGACAGTTTACTTGAAAGACGACGTCTGTTCGTACGCGTATGGGTCGAATGAGCGCGTGGGGCGAGGCACTCTCAGTTTGTTTACAAGTCTATCACGCATAGTGACGCACACCACTGCGCTTTGAATTCTTTGTGAAGAATTTCTTTGTTTGTCTGCTATTTTGCTTTTTTAACATACACGTTCTTATTATATATGTCATGCCATGGGTCCCAAGATGGATGGTGAGAGGACTGGATGGATGGATAGGGGGGTGAATGGATGTATGGTGAAGGGAGACTGGATGGATGGGGGGGGACTGGATGGATGGACAGGGGGGTGAATGGATGGATGATGAAGGGGGACTGGATGGATGGTGGGAGGGACTGGTTGATTGGATGGTGAAGGGGGGACTGGATCGATGATGAAGGGGGACTGGATGGATGGGTGGTAGGAGAACTGGAGGGATGGTGGGGGAACTGGATGGATGGATGGTGAAGGGGGACTGGATGGATGGATGGTGAAGGGGGACTGGATGGATGAATGGTGAAGGGGGACTGGGTGGATGGCTAGGGAGTGGATGGTGAAGGGGGACTGGATGGATGGTGGGGGGACTGGATGGATGGATGGATGGTGGGGGAACTGGATGGAGGTATTGGGGAGGGGGGGGGGGATTCGATGGATGGTGAGGAGAACCTCCATCCCCCACATCGCTCCTCCCCCAGCTGTACCCTCCCAGCCACATCTGGATCTTATTAATACAGAACGCGTCCTTACTACCAACTGGTGGATCGGAGGCAGACTGTCTGATATTAAACTCTTGTTGTTTACTGACTGTGAAAGCCTGATTGACTGTAAATGCTTAACTGGTTGCTCCCACAACTGTGAATGCTTGAAATGCATGACTGACTTGTAACTATGAGTGACTGGTTCTGACTGGCTGCCACATAACAGAGGCAGTGAAATGTTTGGAAGGAAAATTTGGAACCAGTGATCCAGATGTGAATGCGCTTAAGGCGAGCACGGGTCGGAATCACCTCCCTCCTCCTCCTCCTCCTCCTCACCCTCCCTATACACCAACACAACTCCCCCCATCCCGCCTCCCTCCTTCCTCCTCACCGTCTCCCATACACCAACAAGAGTCCTCAGTAAAGGTGAAGTGCAGTTAAATGTTCACTTAGTGTATTTATGGTTTATATTTATACCTGATTGTTTTGTGTATGAAAAATATTAGTATTATTCTGTATAAAATGTATTTTTAAGTTAATATTTTTGAGGGTGTGGAACAAATTAATTCAATTTACATTATTTCTTATGGGAAAATTTGCCTTGAGTGACGAATTTTTGGATGTCGACGTGTGTCTGGCAACGGTATTAGAATCGTGAACAAAGGTACCACTGTATTTGAGATAATCTTAGTTTGTCTTTCTTTAATAAGGCAGAATAAGGCAGACTTCAAACAGTACTTAGAAGGCAGCTTATGGGTGATGCATTTGTGTTCTAGGTTTAATCCATGTAATGAATCATATCAATGAGTTAGTTTGTGCTCCAATTTTGTTGTATAATATATTTTGTAATTTTTTGCCATTATCTCATGGTCATCAAGATTTTTCATCCTTATTTTGTTCTATCATTGTTAAATATCTTGAAATATTTTGGAAGAATCTGATGCCGGCAGTAATTTTTAGTTTCATTTGACAATTTACTTCAGATTCATGTAATTGTTTATGCATTGTGTTCTGTTTTGCCATTTGTTTGATATACATATTATAATAGTGCATTTCACTTATTACAAGGTGAATTTTTGTGCATACATAATATGTAGTAGAGTTTTATTAAGTTTTTAGCAGGATGGCTTATGGAGTATCTTAACCAAAATGTATTTAGCATCTGTGTCAATAACAGTGTCTTATACATTTCATACAAAATAAACTTTGAATATAAAAAAAAGACTACTTTCTGCGCATGAAACTCTTATGGTTTCTAACACAAGTGTGACAGTTAAGAAGCTTCGAGGTTAATGAGATGTTTATGATAGGACCCTGGTCCAATCTTTGTGTCCCTTTGTTGCAGGGAATATGGAGGCGTTTGTACCACATCCCTATACAATCTAATTTTCATGGGGCTTTTTCCCAACTCTCTCTCATTTCCATTGTGGCATTTGTTTACCATCAGTTCCATCATTCATATTTTGCTACGTTTGTTTTGTCCAAATCTGTTTGAATTGTTGTACATTACATTCTGATGACTTTCACAAAATTTTGACATTTGCAAACATATTCATGTAGTTACTTAGACTTTTAGGAAAATCATTAAATTGTAAATATAAATTACTATTAGCCAGAGAATATAATTGGGGGTGAGTATTGATGTATATGGGACCCCACTAGCGACCTCCCTGCTGGAGATGTTCCCTCATATGTGTGTGTTTTGATTCTGACTTTAGACACAGTTGCACATCCATCTGTAATGTGTTCTTTATACCTAGATTTTTCAATTCTAAAATGTGTCTGTGACAAACTCTGTCGGAAGCTTTTTTTTTTTAAATCCAAATAAATTACATCCATACATATGTTTATTTCTTAATTAGTTTCAACAACTTGCATTTGTGTGTGCGTTTGTGCACACATTTGACTTATGTTTTCTTGTACCTTGGCTTTCTTTTACCCTTGTAGGCTATTATTAACATCAACAGTGCATTTGCACCCTATTAGTTTATTATATCTTGTTTCCTGAATATTTAGCATTCATATCAGTATTATTTCTCAGTAGAGTACATTCATACTTTAAACATTTCACAAATTTGTTATGTCCTTGAAGTTAGGATGACACTTATTTTGTCTTCCCATCCTAAGAGGTCATGTGTGTACAGTAAATTAAAGACATTGTTTCATGTAAATTGTATTGTTATCTTTACACATGTTTGATACCTTTAAATGTGTAAAGAGTCATAGAAACCGAGGTTTTGGAGTATTTAGTTCTAAAACCATGGAGCATATATTTTAAGCCATCTAATGTACATGTGTAGTTACTGGACTTTGTACTCAATTTTCTTTTTGAGTGTACCTTTTTATTGTATTAATTTATCCTGGAGTATGTTTAGAGTTTCTGAATTCTGTGATTCGTAAATAAGTGGCAAATTGATGCCAATGAAAAAAATTATGCATTTATTTTTATGCAGTTTAAAATGGTCTGTCTGGTAGACTGTACTGACTATAATAATTTACATAACATAATTCCAGTATCTAAGTTACTTCACCATTTCTTCTGAACTATTCCACTTGGTTGCCCCGTAAGACAAGGCTCATTCAGATCCTAATGGAAAGTCTCGCAGACCAGTCAGTGTAGGCGACATTCAGATCAACAAAGGAGGGTATTCCTACCAGGTCATTCAGGTGCTAGGGAGACCAAATAAATGAATAATCGAGTCCAGAATGGCCTTTAGAAGGTTAAGTTATAATCATTCAGAGCCCATTCAAGTTCTACTGAGAGAGAATTATCAGGAGAAAGAACCAAGTGCTATACAGCCATTATGACTATACCTATATAGCACTTGCAAGGAAATGAGGATAAGGATTTGGGATGGGACAGGGGAAAGGAATGGTGCCCAACCACTTGGATGGTCGGGGATTGGACGGCAAACTGCATGAAGCGAAACTGTTGCTCTACCGTTCAGATCAAGTGGTTGGGCATTGTTACAGCCTGTTTGAGTCAGTAACCGGGTTCATGCTGTTTCATGTGCCTTATAGCCTCTTTTTCTATGATCCTACCCCAAGTCAATGGTAAGTTCTCAAGAATTGGCAGTAGCAGGTAATAGTGCAACGAATATAAAGGGGAATAAAACAAGATGCAATAATACCTCCATCAATATATTATCAGTCGAAGTATAACTACACTTATGTACACAGTGTCATGTTCACCTAGGACACTCAATATCTCTGCAGTGTTCTTCAAATCCCGGTGAGTCCACTTTCTTCAAATATACATTGCCCATGCTCAATGGTAATCACCGGCGAGTTCACCTTCCTCAACATGGGCCAGTCCAAACACCCTATCGTCACGATGTCCCAATACCCTACATCTGCTCTCCAGAAACACTGGCAGAGGGCTTTAGCAACATGCTGACAGGGGTCGCAAATAATCACTTCCAGGGGTATCTAACACCCTGGCAGAAGTCTCTAGCAACACTTCTCAGCAGACGGACACTACTGTCGTCTCGTAACTCCTCTTGGCCAAATCCCGGGCACATCGATCCACATAACACTGCCTAAGTACAACATCCAACACACTGCTTACCACCAACAGCAGTTACTTGGCCTCTCACAGGACCAAGTCAGGAGTTCTGGACTGCCCAAAGCGAACTGATTTCCACAGTGCAATACTCTCCATGAAACCTCATTGGATATAAAAGTCATTAGCCAGACATAGTATACAGGGAGAACATAGGATGACAATCTTTCACTGGGGAACTGAAATTGTAATGGAATGCACAACCTAGATGGCATTGATATCGTTACACCATCCACTAGAGGTCATTATCGTCGACCTCACCTCCTAACTGAAGTATGAAACGAGCCTTTCACTGGCGCCACACCACCGCCAACAGATGGCGTTGTCTGCGTCTCACCTAATGTCTTGGAGTTGGAGTGCAGGTCCATAGATGGCACCGAAATTGCCACTCCTCACTCCAGCTACGGTGTTGATACTGTAACAGGCAATATAAATTTAATGCTCTATTGAGCATTACAAGAATTGCCAAGTTGCAACCACAGACTGTGTACCTCTGATTCTTGTGTGCACAGAGATTATCTTTGCTTCAGGAAGAATTTCAGAAAGCTCCAGGTAAAGAATCCTGTGATGGTGGTGGTCTGGAGTAGCAGCTTGACGAGTCAACTGCTGGCCAGTGACAGCACCATTGACGGGAACAGTTCTCATGTACCACTAGCACCAGTATAACCCAACAGAGACATAAAAGAGATTTCTGTTGTGCCAGTGCAGAATGTAAGCCTACTTGCATTGTCTTGTGATTTTCTAATAGGACTTGAAAGGACTTTGCCTTTGGTAACACTCAAGAGTACTGTCAGAAAGGTGCTGTTCATATTTACTCAAAGCCCATTTCTTTAATGTTTTTATATATTGTACTTTATTGATTGTTTAGTGTCAGTAATGTTTGTGAGTGCTTTTTGGATTATAGATTTTGAACGGTTGATTTTAGCTTATGCATTTGTTTTCTGTTGTCTTTATTGACATTTTATTCAGAACTGCTGGAACAGTTTTGATAAAATTTGGTTAGAATCTTCTCA